CTTGCATCATGCCTTGCATCATGCCTTGCATCATGCCTTGCATCATGACCTGCATCATGCCCTGCATCATGCCCTGCATCATGCCCTGCATCATGCCCTGCATCATGCCTTGCATCATGCCTTTCATCATGCCTTTCATCATGCCTTGCATCATGCCCTGCATCATGCCCTGCATCATGCCTGGCATCATGCCCCGCACCATGACTGCCTGTGACGGCTTAATTACATGTGTTGTTGGCAGAGCAGGTTTCCGTAGCCTTTTTCCCAATACACATCAATAGACGCAACAAGTTTACTTCGATTACTTCTTTGATATCGGAGTTTGAAATTTGTTTGTAATTTCTCTGACCGTCTTAGAATTTATTACCTGGGAATGTTTTGATGTGCAGTTCCTGAAGCGAGTGGACGACTACGTGGAGAACTCGCTCAAGTCTGTCGAGGACTCCTTAAGTTACTTCAACCCCTTGACGTGGTTCTCTGGTACAGCCAAGGAGGAGAGCGAAGTGCTCTCAGACGACGTGGCTAGTAACGACTTCCTGGCCCCACTTCCTCCCGTGTACCACGCACCTCCTCCTCCTTCATCCTACCACGCTCCTGCGCCTACATCCTACCAGGCTCCACTCCCTCCCGTGTACCACGCTCCTCCCCCTTCCTCCTACAAGGCACCACTTTCGGCCGCATACCAGGCACCTCAGCTGTCTTCCTACGTCACTCCTCCCCCGCCTTCTTACCATGCCCCTCCCCCGTCTTCCTACGTCACTCCTCCCCCTTCTTACCATGCCCCTCCTCCGTCTTCATACGTCACTCCCTTCCCGCCTTCTTACCGCGCACCTCCTCCAGCATCTTATATAACTCCTCCTCCTCCCATGTCATCTTACGAGGTTCCAGAACCAGCAGGGTACCAAGCTCCTCCAGCAGGATACCAGGCTCCAGTACCATCAGCTTACCAGGCTCCTCTGCCGTCATCCTACGTGACCCCTCCTCCAGCAGCGTATCAGGCTCCAGTACCAGTGACCTACCAGCCTCGCTTGCCCCCCATGGAGAGGCCGAAGCACTCGGCGTTCTTGGCGGAGCCTATCCCATACGAGACGCAGTTCATACCATACGCCCCCGCTTACGTCACCCTCACCAGCCCCGACACCGGCGACGAGGACAAGAACAAGGGCTGGAAAAAGCTCTTCAAGTGGTTCTGAGCTGCAAGGATTTTTGAACAGCATTTGCTGAAGTTGTGAAATTCTGGTGTATGTGGGACCGTTTAAGTTCTACATGCATTAACTTGACCCCGACTGGCTAGATTAGGTGAATATTTACGCAGATTTTGTCGAATGAGTAGCTACGATGAATTGTGCATTTATAAATTTTTGGGGTCGTAAATGAGATATGTGATTTTATAAAAAAAATTCTCCGTTCACACACGATATTTTAAAAATCTTGATGTCTTTTTATACGAGGCTCCTATTGCTCTTGAAGGCAGTTTGGTCCTCAATGGTTTACGCGTCATCCATATTGTGATCAATAAACATTCCCTGGTATGGGCTTATGAAATACACGAATTGAATTAAATGTTGTAACATTTGCCTCGTTTTATAAACTGTAACACTTCTGATGCGCTACCCTGATGAGAATGAGGAAAATGAGCGCCTAGGATAAGCAGCACATGGCAACCTCAGGTGCAACGATTTCAGGCCTGCATTCAGTAGAGATTTAAAGTTCCCCGTCTTAATGCGTTCAGATTTTCTCCGCTATTTGAAATTACTGACAACATTTACCGTTTCAGTGCCTTTTTTGATAATTTAGAATGCTCGGTCATTAACAACGAATACCATTGGTGTCATTCGATACATCATTTGACCAAGGGTCAACATGTTGCCAAGCTTTGCTCCGCTGTAGCTCATTACTCAGTTACATTGCCAGGCTCGTAGACGGTTAGTTGTTAGTTTAACACTTTCATTTTTTGTACTGTTTTTAAACAGGGTTGCCAGACGGCCATGTTTTCCGGACAAATTCCGTGATTTAGTTTTTTCAATTGCGTTGGACGGCTAAAATTTATGATGGGGATTTTCAGTGCCCCAAGTGTGATTATGCTTCTACAAAAAAATGGAACTTGGAAATTCATACTATTCAGAAGCATTCAACTGAAAAACGTTTTCAGTGCTCTGAGTGTGATTATACTTGCACAACAAAATTTAATTTGAAGAGTCATCATCTATACAAGCATTCAACAGAAAAACCTTTTAAATGCTCCGAATGCAATTATGCTTGCATCACACGAACGAAATTGAAAACACATTTTTTTAACAAGCATTCAATAGAAAAACCAATTCATTGTCTTGAGTGTGATTATGCTTGCACCACAAAATCATACTTGAAAGAACATTATTTAAACAAGCATTCAACAGAAAAACCTTATCAGTGCCCTGAGTGTGATTTTGCTGGCACATCAAAAAGGAACTTGAAAAGTCATATTATTTACAAGCATTCAACAGAAAAACCCATTCAGTGTTCTCAATGTGACTATGCTTGCTTCAGAAAACAAGAATTGAAACGACATTTTCTAGCCAAGCATCCATCTGAAAATGCCTCTTCCATGCTCCGAGTGTGATGTTACTTGTTTCAAAAGTGTATGAGCATCTTCACTTCACGCATCCATCATAAAACCGTCTATGGACCAAGTGTGAAGATGCATGTGAATTTACAGAGCTGGACACAGGAATCAAGTGCAGAACATTTGATCTTTTTGAGACAACAGGACCAATCTATGTAGGGTACCTAACCAAAGCACCAACTGTCACCAATGAAGAAGTGCTTAGCTGTTCTTTGTTCTTTGAAGGTGGCAGTCACTGGGGGCGGCTTGGATGTAAAAGAGAAAGCCGAATGCCACTCCATTGTAATATCAATGACTGTAGCCACAGCTCTGTCTTATTTAGAGTAGCTTTTGTTCATTTGGACTAGTTTGTTTTGTTGTGTTTCCACATGTATATTCTTAACGCTGTACCGTGGTATGGCGCGAAACGCTCATCGTAGCTTAGCTACCTTGACTAAATTATTTGTACCATGTGCCTTTTGATGTAATTATGTGATGTAATTAGAATTTCATGGTCATTTTATATTCCTGTTATGGGCTTATGAAATGCACGAACTGAATTAAATGTTGTAACATTTGCCTCGTTTTATAAACTGTAACACTTTTGATGCGCTACCCTGATGATAATCAGAAAAATGGGCGCCTAGGATAAGCAGCACATGGCAACCTCAGGTGCAACGATTCCAGGCCTGCATTCAGTTGAGGTTTAAAGTTCCCTGTCTTAATGCGTTCAAATTTTCTTCTCATTAAATGTCTCTCCAGACGTTCAGTTGAAGACTGAAAACATATTAATTAGATAGAAAATTGAGCACTTCTGCTATCTCCTCTTAAGATTGATCGCAAGGCACTTGTACGGGTGTCTACAAGGATGAGAAACCAGTGGCAGGTGATAGGATAGATGAGGGTAGATGTGATTATGTAAGGTTACAGATGCTGCTAAACTATTTCAGAAAACTATTCTTTGGAAATCCTAACTCGAATTGAGCCCAGTTACTGACAACATTTACAGTCTCACTTCCTTTTTTGATGATTTAAAATGCTCGGTCATTAACAGCGAATACCATTGGGGTCATTCGATACATCAGTTGAGCAAGGGTTGAAATGTTAACAAGCTTTGCTCCACGTCCACTGCAGCTCATTACTCAGTTTCATTGCCAGGCTCGTAGATGGTTAGTTTAAGTGAAGAGCAATAATTTTTCGCCAAAAATGCGTCAATTATAGTCAGGAAAATCCTGCACGTCATCCCTCTGACTGCGGTGCAGGACTTGTGTCATCCCTCTGACTGCGGTGCAGGACTTGTGTCATCCCTCTGACTGCAGTGCAGGACTTGTGTCATCCCTCTGACTGCGGTGCAGGACTTGTGTCATCCCTCTGACTGCGGTGCAGGACTTGTGTCATCCCTCTAACTGCGGTGCAGGACTTGTGTCATCCCTCTGACTGCGGTGCAGAACTCGTGTCATCCCTCTGACTGCGGTGCAGGACTCGTTTCCTCCCGTTACAATGTAGCTATTACGTTACAATATTCTGATTTTCGTGTTCCCTGAATACGCGTGTTTAGGCTCGAAATTTTCCTTGGTTTTCTTACTATGGCCACCGGGGCTAACTTAGAAAGAATTTCTCATTAGCATTCATGATCGGCATATGAGACGGTTTACGTTCATTTGGTGATGATCGTGATATACCTTACCTCTTAGGTCGCCAATTTATGTGAGAAACATAGGTTATTATCATGATTCAGATTATCTATGGATCGTTTAATATGATATCGTCATGTTTCATGAGTTATGTCGTGATAATAGTTTTTACTTTAGCTACCCATAAAAAATTGACTCAGTACAGTTATTCCTGATTTTTGGTTCATACCTAGTTTTCACCGCAAGTTGTGATTCGTGAAATATTATTTTCCTTCAACAAAAAAGACAAGAACTGCGCCATTCATAGAATTTTAAAGCAAAAAAAAAATACAAATACATTCCTTACACTACTTCAGTCCAAACTTTTATCCGGTGATCGCCGCCGTCTCATTGTTTAAAGAAAATATATTCTATTCTGAAGATATAAATTTTAGCGCCTGTGAAGGCATAAATGTTACGATATTTGGAGGCGGGGTATTTGAGGTACGGACGTAAAAATATTCTGGTAAGAATAGCATGTTTGTAATGCGAGCATGAATAATAACATGACCAGCACAAGTGCAGCCTATCATTGCTACGTGACCTGAGGGAACTGATGGCGGCGTACAGCCAGAGTGTCAAATATCGCACCAGCGGAGTTCGAGTGTCGCAGTCTCGAGGCACGGTTACTAAAATATTTTAGTGTCATCCCTCTGACTGCGGTGCAGGACTCGTTTCCTCCCGTTACAATGTTGCTATTACGTTACAATATTCTGATTTTCGTGATCACGGAATACGCGTGTTTAGGCTCGAAATTTTCCTTGGTTTTCTTACGATGGCCACCGAGGCTAACTTAGAATTTCTCATTAGCATTCATGATCGGCATACGAGACGGTTTACGTTCATTTGTTGATGATCGTGATATACCTTACATCTTCAATCGCCTATTTATGTGAGAGATATACATACACGATTCAAATTATAAATAGATCATGTAATACGATATTGCCACGTTATACAAGTTTTGTCTGGATGCTGATTTTTACTTTTGCTACCCATAAAAATTTCTTTTCTAGTTTGACCGGTTATTCTTGTTTTTCGTTGTGACTGAGTTTTATTTAAAAGTTTTGACTTGGAAACTATTATCTCAGTTTAACAAAGGAACGAGAATGCGTCATGTCGTGGATTTGAGGGGCAAATGAAATTGTATAATACAATTCTTACACTGCTTGTGTTCGCACTTTCATCCGGAGACTGCTGTCTCGTAACATTTTGATGTAAGCTATTCAGAATAAATAAATTTTAGAGCCTGAGAAGGCAAAAATTTTTACGGTTTGGAGGCGGGGTAATGAAGGAACGGACAGCAAAATATTCTGGTAGGAATAACATAATTATAACGCTAGCATGAATAATAAAAATGACCAGCACGAGTGCAACCGATCATTGCCACGTGACCAGAGGGAACTGATGGCGGCGTACAGCCAGAGTGTCAAATATCGCACCAGCGGAGCTCGAGTGTCGCAGTCTCGAGGCACGGTTACTAAAATATTTTGCTCGGGGACTGTGGTCCGATATACTCAGCGTTGTCCAGATCTGACGCTTCACAGCCCAACTAAACCTAGCGAAGAAAACAAAAATCTAGTTTGCGTTTTCTTATCGTTAAGGAACGTTTCGTTCCAACTGAATTTTAGAAGTTAATTTGATATCCTGACACTATACGCACTATACCTTATGTATCTCTATTGCCACGCTATCAAAATACAATAGCATGAGATAATTATATTATAAATTTTATAATATACTTTTTTTATTATTATTTTGTAAAAACGGATTGCATATAAAATATTCCGGTTCCGAAATGTCGAATTCAAGCGCTTCTTTTGAAATTGTAGTGCAAATGGGATTGCACCAAATGCAAGTGGGAGTGGGATTATTGGTTAAAGTGCAAAAAAACGTGGTGAAAGTGCAGAAAAAGAAACGTGGTGATTCAATAGTTAGAAGTGATTAAAAAATATTTTGTGTGATTTTGGACTTTGGTGGACGTTGTTAATCATGTCACAGCCCTGGAGGCTGGACGCGGACAGGATAGAATTCTAGAATTGACTGTTCATATTATTCCCATTTCCCAATACACTACACCTAGACCAGTTTTTCAATCCAAAAACGTTATTTGAGGCAAAAAAATATGAACTTCTTAAAGGCTTAAAACACGTATGGGTACTTTGGGTAGGTAGTATGCTTACTAACTTACTTGCTAAGTTTCTACAAAGTAATCACTTTGATTTGAAGTTGCATGCCTGCAGCTTTCACCCAACAATTACAATTATAAAAAGTATTATTTAGTTAAAGATTTGTCTCTTAAGTTGACTACAAGGAAC